CTTTATAAAACAAGGTCAAACCACATGTAGATTTTAAGATACGCTATATAATTTAGTGGATGCCTGAAAGGACCTATTATTCATGATATATTGTTATTTATTCTCAGAAACTGTTCATTTTTTTAGCTCTACCTACAGTTCGATCAAAGTGCGTTCGTTTATTGTGGAATATTTCTGTGCCACCAGAACTGTTTCATCCATGAAACGTGAATGCTACCCAGGTGTTGAATAATCTAGTATAAGAGTTATTCATGTTATTGACTATACATACATGTATTAGAGTATAAATGTTATTGACTATACATACATGTATTAGAGTATAAATGTAAGACATGATGAATTGTTCCAATACAGTGTTTCATGTGAGTAAGTGAGTGTTACCATTATCAGGGAAAATCCAAACAGAAAATGTTTGTATGTATTGTCAACTGTCATGCTTGTATGAAATTCAGTTGTTTAGCATACATCTTTCCAGTGAAGCCCTTCTGTAAGAATGTGGTATTCCTGATGTATTTACCTCTTTTCACATATATTATACATTTGCATATAATACTATTTTAATGATCAACGATTGCTATAATTTATAGAATAACTTCAGTATATGATGTTTTATCATAACCTTTTGATAAAAGATATCTTGAAAGAGCAAGACTGCATGTTCAAGGCCATCTTGTGATCTAAACTGTTGTCAGTCTGGGTCACTTAATCATTAACTCTATGGTGTATTTATTTGAAGAGATGAAATGTTGGATCACCTTGAAAGTATGTTGTACCAAGCACTAGATTGTCAACATCAGTATGTACAGTGTGTCAGCAGGAGACCTGCTGGTTATATTTTTGTGGTACAAATGCCAATACAGATCACCAAATTTATTTGGATTCCACAGGTACTGCATTTTATATTGCAAGCGATGGGTGTTGCTGTTTTCTCATCTGTGCCTTCTATGAGAATGGGTGGTGCCTAATTAACCTGTTGGGCTTGCTGGCTGCCCTGTAAATGTAAGCATCTTACCGTGAGGTGTAGAGATCTGGTGGGATGCTATGATATCCTAACATTAGGATTTTTCTGAGAAATGTAAGCTTTAAGCTGAGGTCAGGCCTTGTGTGCTATCTTTTATATGATATCTTTTTTAACAGGGTTTTGAGAGTGAAGTTATTATACACATTCATTGTATAACTCAAATTTGGTCCTGTAATATACTGAATGTTTGCTTCACAGTAATTCTTTGTTATCAAGTTTGGAAAATACTATTTAAATAGTCATTAAATAGTTAGATAGTCATGCTATGTAGAAAGATGAAGCCAAGGGCCAATACTGTAACACAACTGCCATGACAATGAATTTACCCTCTCAATCTATATACATATAGTTTTACCTAAGGCGTTCTAGCCGTAGTCTTTCTGTCCTCTCCCTGTCCAGCTTGTCTCTCTCCAACTGTTCTAATCGCAAAAATTCTCGTCTCTGAGCAGCAATTCTTTCTCTTTCTAATCTCTGCCTCTCTCGCCTAAGTATTCAATAACAAAATCAATGACATATTGATGGCATTAATAATATACATTGGTTTGAAGACATGATATTACTATTCACATACCTGGAAATGTTCTAGCAACTCATAAGAGGCCTTGCATTTGACTGAAGTATTTTTTATCGGTCTTGATTGTTTCTGGCCAGACAAATGAAAGCTAAATTCATGTTAACAATGAAGGTAATAAAAGAAAGCTTCGAATAGGATAATCTCACTCTCGTTTTTCCTCGTTCATATATGTCAAAATTTAATGCAATAGCCCACCTAAGTTTATCCCGTTCCCTGCTTAGCTTCAACGACTCCATCCTTTGTCTTATATGGATATCTTTTTGGCGTTTCTTTTCTTGCAATATCTCCTTCCTCTTCAGATCTTCTTGTAATGACTTTCTCTTCTTCAGTTTTTCCCATTCTTTCATCTTTTCTTCCTGGGAAAGACAGAAAGATCCAGACATTTTAGGATTCCATAAATCAGCTTAGCTATGAAGTGCAAAAGTTTAAGATTTGATGTTTAGTACATTATAATATTATAGTACACCCAACTTGTAGAAAAAAAGGCAGCACTGCATAGCTTGTATAGTTGTATATTATACGTATTTTATTAATACATCATGTTGAGTAGAGTTCAACTATAAAATGTCTGCTATCATGAGTCTTGGGGAACAGCCTCATTAATGCTGAATCATGTTAACATGATGGTAAATCTAACAGGGTAAATCTGATTTATCACATAATGTACTGTGTTATCCAGTAAATATACCCAT